TTAGTTATACATGTCAGAAGAATGCATTTCAATTCATCATACACAAATGGAACACAACATTTCCATTCTCTGGTTATACATGGTGTTCAGCAATCATACATGTGGGAAGGGGTTATGAGAGGAGGAAAGATGGTGGAATGAGATGGAACTCATTATCCTAGGTGACCATCTTTGAGGACTTCTTAGGAAGCCTGAACTAAGCTGATCACAGGAGGAGGAATAGGAGGCCAAGGGTGCATGCCTGGCTACCAAACATGTATTGGCTCAAAATCTATGGCATGGAAGTCATTTCCCCTCCAACTGGTTCAGAGAGTCTAAATATACTACCCATACAGGGAGGAAGAAAATAATAATTTGGGGAATCTTTATTGTTTGCTTTATTATGCTGAATACTTACCAGTATTTATTCTCAGAACAACTCCACAGGAGTTTCTTTGTCTTCTTTATATAGATGAGGAAAGAGCCTCAGAGAGGTTAAGCAACCAGAAAAAGGTTTTACAACTAATAAGAGGTAGAGTCAGGATTCAGATTAAAGCCTGTATAACCCCAAGGCCATTATTCTTTGTCCTAGATCTGCATCCAGTCTTTGGGGACAGTGTTCTTTGTGACTAAGGTCACTTAATAACATGGAATGCCTTGTAAATGAAAGCAAAACTATCACATTTATTAGAGGCAAGATTGCTTTATAACAATAGATCCTAAACTATCTTCTTAATTCTTTACAAAGAAAAAAAAGAATATTCTGATTATAAGTTTGGTTTTAAAATAGCTTATGGAAAAGTGAATCATACAAAATCATATAAGCAAACATTTATAGTATTTACAATAGTTAATTTTAATACATATAGATAGTAAGATAGATAACTTTAAAAAATGGGATTTCTGCTGCACATAAAGCTTTTCCAAGTTTGCAAATAGATACATGATGATTCTAATTCACAGAATTTAAAAGTTGGAATGTACCTATTCACTTGAACTTCCCCTTTCCTCCTTCCCCATCCCACTTCCTTTTTTTCTGTTTTTTTTCCCTCCTTCCTCTTTCCTTCCTTCCATTTATGTTGGGGAAATACACTCAACTTCTGTAAGAAAATGAATGAATCAAAAATCATATAAAAGTTAAAACTTGGTTAGTAGATTTATTTCTTTGCTAAAACTCATTATTGTTTTGAAAGGAGGATCCTGGCCTATTGCTTCTTTAACAACTTACTCTACTGCCTGAAGAGGGGAGCATCATTTGACCAGTAAGATTCAGAGTCAAGAGACAAAAGAAACAGAAAGTCCAGTTCCTAATGTGAGGTCACTTGGTGACTGGTGAGAATCTCACCCAAATTTTTCAGACATCCACGCTCCACCATGAATCAAAAGGAAAGGTGTACTTGAGAGAAGGTAGAATTTAACTGAAATGAGGATGCGGAGGAAACCAGAAACTTACCCTGAATTTGTAAAATAGAAAACAGAGAGCTTCCTGGGCAGGGTGGCCGAGAGGCGTTTGGCATACTCAA